CTGTAGACCAAGCTGGCCTCGAACTCACAGAGATCCGCCTGCCTCTGCCTCCCGAATGCTGGGATTAAAGGCGTAAGCCACCAACACCCGGCTGTATGTATCTCTTGTATTTTTTATATTAGAATACTCAACCCCCAAAAGTACCCAGCTATATTAGTTACTTCTAGATGCGGCCAAATGTCTGGTAGAAGCAACTAGTTTTATGTTAACAAACTAGAGTCCTTTGAAGAGGCCCTCAATTGAGAAGATGTCCCCACCGGAGCAGCCTGTGCGTGAGCAAGCCCTTGGGGGCATTTTCTTGACTGATGATTGCCACTGGGAAGGCCCAGCCCCGTGGGCAGTGCCATCTCTGGGACGGTGGTCCCAGGTGTCGTCGTCATAAAGATATCTAAGCAAGTCATGGAGAGCAGTCCCCTTACGCAGCTCCCTTGTGGTCTTAGAGGGGTGAGCTGAAGTAAACCCTAACCCTCCCCAGGTTGTTGACGGTCGGCCGCAATAGAAACCCTGAGTCAGCCAACTCTGAAGGGGTCAAAGAGTTGCTTTGTCTCGCAGATTCAGATGTCCATGGTTACTTGGCTCTGGGTCCTTGGGAAGAACATGGTGGGGGTGGTGGGAGAGTGTGGTGTATGGTGGAGGAGGCTGTTTACTTCATGGTGAACAGGAAACCCAGAGGAGTGGGTGGGGGAGGAATGGGGAAGGAGAAGTAACTGGGGGTCAGGTATAACCTTCAAAGGCACGCGTGCCCTAACAACTTATCTATTCTAACTAGACCCTACCTCTTGAAGTTTCCAGAACCTCCCAACGTAACACTATCAGCTGTGGATCTAGCATTGGGCATATCACCACGTGGACATTTTATATGTAAACTTTATGCTTCCCTAAGAATTATGTTAGAACATGAATTCTTCACCCAGTTAATTAACTATCTGTAAGCTTCCCCAGGCTTATGATACTGTGTGTGTTAAGTCAATGACCTCAAAAATTTTCTATCACGGAAGGGCAAGCACAAAAGAGGCAAATATTAAGTATAATGAATGGAGCATTGTCAGGGAGACTTTTTTTACAGGGTGCAAGCTAGAAGGTACTCCATTTAGAGAAGAAGGAATGCTTGAGTAACAACACACAGCTGAGCGGTTTGTGGCAGGGTCGCCTGCTGATACTTTTCTACACTGGTCTCTAGGTTCCGGGAAAGGATGGCACTTTTCTTGCTAGGCCTGTGTCACTCAAGCCTGAGATTGGAGGTCAAGTCAATAATATCATCTTAGAGCATCCCACCCTTTCAAGACTACATCTATTGGGTCTGCAGGTCTACTGGACCATGACCCTACTGCACCTTCTCTCCCACACAGAAAAACACCCCCACATCCAATGCACCGTTAAATTCTTTCATAGAATGACACTAGTAAAAAGATTGTCTGGTCCCAGCCCCTAGAAACGTGTCTATGTTTAACATCTGTGGCGGCAGAGTCTAGCCATAATGGAGAAAGCCATGGCTAGGACTGGTGCTTTCAGACACCAGGCGGCAGCATGAGAAGCAGTTATTGAATTCGTCAATGAAAGAAGAAATGGAGGAAAGCAGTTTTCAAAAACACTTAGCTGACTGACTTTCAAGTAAGGAGAGATCCCTGCTGGGATGTAGCTCTGTGGTGGAGTGCTTCCCCAGGATGCACGAAGCCCATACCCCATCTTCAACACAACACGCCACCCCTACCCCTGTATCAGGAAGAAGGGATCCTTAGCCCAGTGGAGATGCTTGATCCCGTCTTTGCGGTTCTTGTCTTCTCTTCCCCTGGGCAACCTGCTCAGAAGCAGAAGCCGAACTTTGTAAGCAGGGTGGAAGACAACACGGAGGGTCAGAATCACTTAGAGCCTTCCAAGGGAGGCCTCACGTGTGCTGAAATAATGCATAGCAAATGGTGAAGGGTAATAAAGCAAAAGAATAAAAGGGGAACACGTCACATTTGCAAGCGAATTTATGTGCGTACAAAATATGTGTGGGAACATGCCTTTCCACTTTGGAGACCCTGCTAATCCATCACTGTGACACTAATGTTGCAAGAAGCAAAGCCCTCAGCCGGTGACCATGACTTTTTAATAGGCCACTCCGTTTCCAGCAATCACACTAACGAAATGGGAGCAGCCCAGTGCTCTTGCAGGGGATGCAAGCTGGCAAAGCCTCCTGGAGCATTGCCGCAGGCGGGGAGCATGCTCACAGGTAGTCTGGATGCACAGGCAGGGATACATCAAGGAAACATCTCGGATTCTTCCAGAGCCCGGCTATGTTCCAGGGCTGGCTTATGGCCTTCAGATAATGTAAAATGCTAAAGTACACAAAGTATAGTTATATGGGCTAAACTATGATTTTTAAAAAGAGTTTACCAATGACACTAAATAGAGCTGTCTTAAGGCCATTTTTGAAGCCTCTAATGCATTAGTCTCCATGCCAGAATACCATCCGTTCATTCATTCATTCATTCATTCATTCACTCCTTTCATCACCGTCTAGAGGATAGAGGATGTTCCTGGAGCTATGGAATATGCATGTTTACAAACCATGGTCCTGACTCAAGAAAGCCAGTAACAGAGAGGGAGGACTGATGATCAAAGGGATTAAGACTGGGCTGGTTTAACCCCCAGAAACAGCTGACCAGACAAAGGTTAACTCTTGAATCCCAGGCATCAGCCTGGGAATCCAGCATGGGACTGATCAATACCCCCCTGAATTTGGGTGTCAGTGAGGAGGCCTAGGGAACCTATTGAGCCTTGGGCAGCAGATCAGTACCCATCCCAAGTATACACACGGACTTTGGACTCCCATAGAACAATGTGAGGTGCACTCTCACCCTGAACTCTTGGGGAAGGGTCTAGGCCCTGCCCTATATGAAATGACAGACTATGCACACCCCCATGGAGGGCCTCACCCTCCCTGGGAGAATGAGGGGATAAGGGGGGGTTAGGGGGAGGGCACGGGAGGAGGGGAGGGAATGGGAGTGGGACCTGGAACTGACTTGTGAAGCAACCTCGTTTCTTATCTAATTTTAAACTGGAAAAAAAAGAAAGTTATTTGAATGCATGTTAAACATTAATGTAATTTTTGAAAGGTTATATCTGATTTTTTTACCAAAATAAATCTGGAGAATAAAAAAAAAAAAAAAAAAAAACACGGTCCTGGCTCTCATATGACACACAGTTAAGCTATGCTAGCCATCAGAAGTAGCATGAAGCCAGACGTTATAAGCAAGGGGTTACCAGGACATAAAGAAATTGGTGGTTTAGAAAACTTCCTGGAAGGACCATCGGGATGGCTCAGCAGGCAAAGGCACTCGCACTGCCTGATTTGCAGCCCCAAAAATCACAGCAGAAGGAGAAAAACTTAGTCTAGTAAGTTGTCCTCTGATGGGGGAAGTCCTGTGTGTATGTCAATAAAGCACTGTTGGCCAATAGGGAAGCAAGATAGGTGGGACTAGGAGTCGAGGAGGACTCTGGGTAGGAGAAACACAGGGAGTCAAGATGTAACCACCATAGGGATAAGAAGCCCGGAAACTTGCCTGGTAAGAGAAATACTTAGATTAACAATTATGGGATAAATACTTAAGTCAGAGCTAGCCAGTAAGAAACAAGCAAGGCCAACAGCTTCATAATTAATACAGCGTCTTGTGTGTTATTTGGGGACTACAACATGGCAGAGCCCAGGCGACTGGTGGGGGGGGAAAACCAATCCGCTGGCAAGGAAAAGGCTTCTCTCTACAGTCCTCCAACCCCCATCAGCGTCCACTGCACACATGCATGTCCCACGCTTCCACATCGTCTTACATTCTCGTGTGCGTGCTTAAAATACTTTTTTAAACTTTGTGAGACGGGAAGGCAAACTTGAGGAGGGGGAAACTGAAGTAGGAGGACTTGATCTTAAAAGATAGCTATGTTACCATATTGTTTATTATTACTTTCCTTTGTTACCTAATTTCAAAAGTAATGCCTCTAGGAATATGAGGTTTTTTTTTCAAAATGCAATCATGCCTCACGGTTACAATCTGCCTAATCTAATGCTCTGCAGTAAGTGCGAGTGTCTGTGTGTGTGTGTATAAAGGCACACAAGTGATACAACAGAAACACTCTCGCGGGACTAGAATGTACGCAAGCACTAGGGGTCAAAAAATAATAAGTAGCCACCAGGAGGGCTCGGCAGGTAAAGGCACTTGCTGCCAAAGCTGGTAACCCGAGTTTGATCCCAGAGCCCACGGGGAGAAGAGAGAGCTGGCTCACCCAAAACTGTCCTCTGACCTCCAAATGCACCCTGTGACACATACACTACATACATAAGAAATGTTTGATTAACAATAACCAATTATTGGAGCAAATCTTATTTTACCTCACAGCCACATGCTGTCACTTGCCTCTCTCCTGATAAAAACCCACTTCTGCCCCACAGTGCTGGAGGCCATCTTCTAACATGCTGTGTGGAAAGTACTCTCTTCAAATTCTTAAATATGAAGCAAAGATTTAGAGCTATCCTTGGAGTCTACTGGATGCAGAGTTCTTCCAGGTTTTAATTATCTCACAGCCATGGACAGTGTTAACTGTCAACTTGGCAGAATCTAGAATTACCTGGGAGGCAGGGGCTTCTAGGCCTGTCCTTGGGGATTATCTTAATTATACTAATTGAGTTCAGAAGATCTGCTCACTGGGTTGGACTACCCGCTGGGCAGGGCATCCTGGACCATATAGCATGGAGAAAGTTAGGTGAGTGCAGCTTCTAGCCCCTACTGCCTACTCTCTCGGCTGGGATGGGCTGTACCTTGACTGCCAGTTTTCCAGTGATTTTTTTTTAAGTTCAACTCCATCTTTGTGGAGCAGCTCTCTTTATGTTCAGACTCATCCGTCCCCCATTGGCACAGTACTTGGATATATAAGGACATAATTATATCCAACTCAATCAGCTGTCAGCATATGTGGAAGTATATGACTCAACCAGGCAGAGCAGAGAAGACGGTGTACACGTCACCAGCAGCCAGCACATTCGGTCCACCAGCGCATTCAGCGCAGGGACTTCAACCAATTGATGGCTGCTCCTGTCAACTTGACAGTATCTAGAATCAGCCGTAAGATAGGCCTTTGTAGATGATAAAGGCATCCCAGAGAGGTCTGGGGGAGTGCCTGCCCGGACGGTGGGTGGCACCTTCCAATTGCCCTTTTCTTCCTGGTGGCATGTGTCTATAGCTCCCGTGGACTCTGACTTCTGCCTCAGTACGGACTGAACATCAGTGGCTCTCCAGGAATCGTCCAGCATCACTTGGGACAGCCGAGGCATTGGGTTTTGTGCTGAGCAGCTCCGAGGTTTTCTGCCCCTTCAACGTGCAGAAGGCGATTGTGGGGAGACCTAGCCCTATCCTGCAAGCCCATCTAATAACACGCTGTTGTGGGTTATTTATTTGTACACTGTGTGAAGATGTATTGCTGTGACTGGCGTAATAAAAGGCTACGCAGCAGAGTATGGGCGGGGCTTCTGGGCAGAGAAAGGTCTCTGGGAAGAAGAAAGGCGGTGTCACTGGACAGAGGAAGCAGGATGGGCAGTATGGAGCATGGAGGTTAGGTAGCGAGCCATGCGGAAGAACACAGATGCTCAAATACGGGTTACTTTAAGCTATGAAGACGAGGTAGGAACAAGCCTACACTAAGGCCGAGCTTTCGTAATTAACAAGTCTCTGCATCAGCGTTTGTGGGTTGGCAGTCCTGACGCGGAAGTGCTACTACAACCCCCTTTCAGAAAACCCACGCATTCCATTAGCTCTGTTCCTTTAGAGAACCGCGTCTAACGCAGGTAGCGCCTGCCGTCAGCATATGTTGTTAGTATGGACCAGCACGCTTCGCGCGCACACTTTCACACACGCATAGAACATGGTTCGAGCGTGTTTACACGCTCAGCTCTCCCACTTTCAGTCAGCCCCCTCTCTCCTCCCAAATGAGGGAGCGCACGTGTGCCGCGACACTCAAGTAGAAATCAGGAGGGTAACTTGCTGGGCTCAGTTTGCTCTTCCACAAAGAGGGTAAATGAGGCTAAGGCTCAGGCAGCCAGGATTGGCAGCAAGTCCCTTGACCCACTGGTCAAACTCAGCAGCCCGTGTCATCGAGTATTTAAAAAAGAAATCGAGATTCCACATATGAAACAACACATGTATTTGTCTTTCAGAGCCTGGCTTACTTTGTTTAGCATGGTGATCTCCAGTCCCATCTAACTTCCTGCTGACCAACTGGTCTTGTTCTTTAAAGATAAATAACATGTCAGCATATGTACCAGTGAGCGCTTAGGCTGAGTCTGTAACTCGGCTCCTGTGAACCCTGCATGTAAACATCTGTGTGGGCGACACCATTTTTTGCTAACTGTGATTCCTTCAAACACTCAGGCGTGCTAAAACTTCAGACAGCAATTTCACACACATGACATCTGCAAGTCCAGCAAGGTAGTCATCTTATTCTGTTAGTTCCTTGTCTCGCTGTTGCGACAAAAAATACCTGACAAAAGTCACCTACGGTGTATTAAAAAGCTGTGACCTACAGATGGGGGCAGAGTGTGGAATGTTCATCCTATGATGCAACCTTCTAGAAAGAAGGAAGTACACTATGATAAGGGAATGCATTTGAAAGCTAGGACAAGAAGGGAATGCCCTGGCATGTCCATGTTATCTCTGCGGGAAAGCCTGGGGGGAATATCCAGGGCTCTTTTCATATGACCAAAAGAGGATGAGACATAACACCAGGTATATTGCCCCATGGTACTTGTATTTGCTTAAGCTAACTGTAAATGTTGCCTCATGATTTGCTTGCTCTAATAATAAGAATGAAAAGCACTGTTTGCTTGCTTTAATAATAAGAAAGAGAAGTGTGCTGTTTGCACTACGCTTGAGCTCAAATGCCTGGAGTGCCCTGGTTTCTCTTGCACGTCTTTGGATCCAGGAGACTTAGCCTCACTGACCATGGGAAGTGTGGACCCTAAAGGAAGGGTCTGTTCTTGTTTACAGTTCTAAGAGACAAGACAGTACGCCGGCAGGAGAAGCAGGAGGCAGGAGCAGAGGGACTGCTTGATGACATTGTGTCCACATTATATCCGCAGCCAGGAAGCAGAGAGAGATGAATGGGTGTTCCCCTCAGCTCCTTTTTATCCTTTCAGATAACCTAATCTAGATAATCCCTCACCAACAGGCCCAGAGATTTGTTTCCATGGTGAGTCTAAACCCTATCAAGTTGATAATGGAGATGAACCACCATGATGGTTTAAAGTATTTTCCATTTTGTATGGTAAAACTCCCTTTGTCACTGTTAGTTTTCTATTGCTGTAGAAACAAATTATCACCAACAGTTTAAAAGGACACCCACTGAGCCTCGCAATTCTCTTGACCAGAAGTTCCCATCTCTCAAGGACAAAATCAAAGTGCTAGCCAATGGGGTTCCTACCTGCAAGGTTCAGGGAATAATTCACTTCTGTACTTTCAGGTTTGCCGATAGAATGAGTCACGTGGCATGGTAAGCCTGAGACCATGATTTCTTTGCTGGATGTTACCCTGGGTCAACTCTGAGCTCCTAAAAAGCTGCCTGCACCCCTTGGCGTGTGGCCTCTCCTGCCTCAAGCAGGCGACTGCACGTAAACCTTGGCCTGTGCTTCAAATCCACAGTTTCTCTCTCTGATACCAGAAAACTCTTTTTTGTTAAAGGGCTTGCGTGTTTGGGGCGGGCCCCACTCATAAACCTGTCTGAACATCAGCTGCGTCAAATGACAGTGCACCACCATTCCGGAGGTGGCAGCCTGTCGTATCACTGGGGCCTGGGGATTAGAACATATTATTATTTGGAAGCCATTTTGTAGAATTCCACAGGCCGCAGTCTTCAAAATAAGAACAGGAGGAAAGAATTTCTCAGGCGAAATGAAAACGTGTGGAAATGTCTGGGCACTATGAGGGCAGCCCCGGGGGATAAAAGCGCCTCCACGCCTCTCTCTGGTCCCAGCTGTGAACCCTGCCGATTCTAAAGTCCCAGCTAAGAATACCCGCAAAGAAAGTGAGGAAACGCAGGAAATTAAATCATGCTAACGTGTCCAAACAATAGTCCTTGGAACCTGCCTTAGGAAAAGGTGAGCTGGGCAGCGGTGCACGTGCCCAGCGTGTGTGAAATCCTGGGTGAGCTCCCCAGAGCCACACAAACAAATCGTTGATGAACAGCAGGTAGTAAACAAAGACATGCAATGAAAACAGAAGAAATGTCACCACTGTCTTTCCCAAAACAAGAGCAAAGATTAGGCGGTAACGTCCCCTCCCTACCAAGGGAAAAGGCAGAATAAATGCAGGCATTTAAGTAGAAAATGACTTAATCAAGAATTCCAGTGCTAACCAGAAAAAAAAAAAAAAACTGACATGCCCAAAAAACTGTTTTAATGAATGTGATCTATTAAGGATACAAGTTTGTACTCTTATCAAAAAGGATGAAAATATTCCTATCTTGTGACCTCATTTTAAGGACTCCATGGTGAGGAAATTATACAATAAAAATATACTTCAGAACAACTGATATTTATGGACTGTATTCTCATCTAAATGTTTATGAATAAAAAATGGTTAGGCAAACAGTCTCTCCATCAACAGCATAGGCATAGGTGTCAGCACACCCTGTGGAGAACATAACACTTGTGTATTATATTGCTTTATCAGGAGGATGAACATTTTTTTAAAAAAAGAGTCAGCATTTCCTGCCACGGCTGCTGGAATGTAATTCTCTAGACCTGTGGTTCTCTCCTGTGGGTTGTGATTGCATAGGGCATCCTACATATCAGATGTTCACATCATCCGTAACAGTAGCAAAATGACAGCTACAAAGTTGCAATGGAACAGATCCTTAATTGGGGGTCACCACAACATGAGGAACTGTATTAAAGGGCTGCAGAATTAAGAAGGCTGAGAACCGATGATCACAGTTACACAAGAAATGCAGATTCAGCTGGGCAGAGGTGGTGCAAGACTTTGATCCCTGCACTCGGGAGGCAGAGGCCGGTGGATCTCTGTGAGTTCAAAGCTAGTCTGGTCTACAGAGCAAATTCCAGGACAGGCTCCAAAGCTACACAGAGAAACCCTATCTCGGGAACCTATTCAGTCATGCGCTATATATCCTGACCTAATAATCTCTATTTCTGATTTCGTTCTCTATTTGTAAATATCTTTCAGTGAGAATCTATCAATGAAAAGAATATAATGACATACTGAAACTTTGATATCTTAAGTTTGCAAGTAAAATGGAGAATCGTATTCATTATGTTAGAACCATGTAAAACACCACACATACACACACACACACACACACACACACACATCTGTGTATAAACAAGAGCTGAGAAGGAATTGGAAAAATGGGAACAAGTTAATTAAAATTAGAGAAGAATCTTTTCCTTTGACTTTCAAGAGTGGTATCAAATCATTTGTGTGATAAATAATAATGACAAGTAAGAAATTAAAGCCACATATGCATTCTTACTTTAACTTTTTAATTTAAATTAGAAACAAGCTTGTTTTACAAGTCAATCCCAGCACCCTCTCCCTACCCTCCTCCCCTGCCTCCCACAAACCCCCTGTCCCATGCCCTTTCTGCTCCCTAGGGAGGGGGAGGCCTTCCATGGTAAATCTTCATAGTCTCTTATATCTTTGGAGCAGGGCCTAGGCTCTCCCCTGTGTGTCTAGGCTGAGAGAGTATCCCTCTGTGTGGAATGGGATCCCAAAGTCCATTCCTGTGTGGGGACCATAGACCCTGGCTGGACACCCACTCCTCCATCAGCCTGGGAGCATGTAGCTGCAAGACAATGTTTACTGAAAACATGTTTACTGAAAACAATCCAGTGCCAAAAGTTCCTGATAAGGGCTTGATAAGGGCTCACTCACTGAAACACCCTGACTTTGATCTTCCTGATGGCTAGCCACTTCTTCCTGTCCCCCATGCTGTTCCCGATTCTGGTATAGAGATTTAACCACCAGCCAGGAGGAGAAAGAGGTCTGTTGGAGATTTGTGCGTGTATGTATGGCAGAAGTTTTTCTGAAGGGAAGCGTTTTTCTTGGGAAGTTCTCCTAAGCCGATTTGGGGAGCATAAAGTTTTCTTAATGCAACCAACTGATCTCTGTGTCATCTATCCTGACACCCTCGCCACATTCTCAGATACAGGCTGCGTAGCAGGCACAGCATTCCTGTACTAGGGATAAATACTGATCCACTACCAAAAGCCCCATAGATTGCCCAGGCCTCCTAACTGACACCCACATTCAGGGGGTCTGGATCAGTCCTATGCTGGTTTCCCAGCTATCAGCCTGGGATCCATGAGCTCCCCATTGTTCACGTCAGCTGTTTCTGTGGGATTCTCCAGCCTGGTCCAGACCCTTTTGTTCATCACTCCTCCCTCTATGCAACTGGATTCCAGAATTCAACTCTTTGTTTAGCTGTGGGTGTCTGCTTCTGCTTCCATCAGCTGGATGAAGGCTCTAGGTCACCATTTAAGGTAGTCATCAATCTCATTATCGGGGAAGGACATTTAAGGCAGCCTCTCAATTAATGCTTAGATTGTTAGATAGGGTCATCCTTGTAAATCTCTGAACATTTTCCTAGTGCCAGATTTCTCTTTAAACCTATAATGACTCCATCTATTATGGTATCTCCTTTCTTGGGCTCCTCTATTCTTCCCCTGACTCAAACTTCCTCTCCCCTCCTCTTCTCCCCTTTTCTTTCTTCTAATTCCTACCCCCCCCCCCCCCATGCCCAATTAGATCAGGAGATCTTGTCCCTTTCCCCTTCTCCAGGGGAACATGTATGTCTCTCAGGGTTCTCCTTGTTTCCTAGTTTTTCTGTCAGTGTGGATTGTAGGCTGATAATCTTTTGCTCCATGTCTAAAATCCATATATGAGTACACACCATGTTTGTCTTTTTGTGACTGGGTTACCTGGCTCAGGATGGTTTCCTCTAATTTCAACCATTTGCCTGCAAATTTCAAGATTCCATTGTAGTTTTTTTTTCCTCTGAGTTGTTAGGGACCAGGTCACTATATCTATTTCTTACCCTAGGCATTTCCCAAAACTCAAGTGCCTTCTCACAGATGCCTTAGAGATAACCCATCCTTAACAATGCTAACACCTACACTCCTGATGAGATCTCCTGCTCTCTCACATATCAAACGCTCCCAGCCCCTAACAGCCCCCTGCCTCACTTCCCAGCATCTCCTGTCTAACAACCTCCACCCCATGGCCAATGCCAAGTTTCCCTGGCCAATGCCAAGTTTCCCTATTTAAGCCTGTACAGAATTTTCATTAAACGGCAGCTCGATCAGCCATGTTGTCCTGCTGCCATCTCTCTCTTGTCTCTTGTCTCGTTCATTCCAGACTCCCGTGGGCTCGAACCCGTTGTGCCCTGCTGGCCAAGGCAAGTAGTAATCCACTGTGTAAATGTACCACATTTTCTCTATCCACTCTTCAGTTGAGGGCCATCTAGGTTGCTTCCAGGTTCTGGCTATTATAGATAATGCTGCTATGAACATAGTGAACAGGCATCCTTGTTGTATGAATGTGCATCTTTTGGGTATATGCCTAAGAGTGGAATTGCTGGGTCTTGTGGTAGACTGAGTCCCATTTTCCTGAGGAATCTCCATACTGATTTCCATAGTGGCTGTACAAGTCTGCACTCCCACCAGCAGTGGAAGAGTGTTCCCCTTTCTCCAAATCCTCTCCAGCATAAACTGTCATTGGTATTTTTTATTTAAGCCATTCTGACAGGAGTAAGATGGTTTCTCAGAGTTGTTTTGATTTGCATTTCCCTGGTGGCTAAGGATGTTGAGCACTTTCTTAAGTGTCTTTCAGCCATTTTAGTCTCCTCTATTGACAATTCTCTATTTAGTTCTACACTCCACTTTTTAATTGGATTATTTGGTGTTTGGGTGACTAGCTTCTTGAGTTTCTTGTAAATTTTGGAAATCAGCCCTCTGTCAGATGTGGGGATGGTAAATATCTTTTCCCATTCTGTGAGCTGCCATTTTGTTGACTGTGTCCTTTGCCTTATTGAAGCTTCTCAAGTTCAGGAGATCCCATTTCTTAACTGTTGCTCTTAGTGGTGTTATGTTCAGGAAGCTGTCTCCTGTACCGATTCATTCAAGGGTATTTCCCACTTTCTCTTCTAAGAGGTTCAGTGTGGTTGGATTTATGTTGAGGTCTTTGATCCATTTGGACTTAAGTTTTGTGAATGGGGATAGGTATGGATCTATCTGCAGTCTTCTACATGTCAATATCCAGTTATGCCAGCACCATTTGTTGAAGATGCTTTTTTCCATTGTATAATTTTAGCTTCTTTGTCAAAAATCAGGTATTCGTAGGTATGTGGGTTAATATCAGGGTTTTCAATTCAATTCCATTGGTATACCTGTCAATTTTTGTGCCAATACCAAGCTGTTTTCAGGACTACAGCTATATGGTAGAGCTTGAAGTCAAGGATAGTGATGACTCTGGAAGTTCCTTTATTGTGCAGGATTGTTTTGGCTTTTTCTTTCGGCTTTTGGTAAAGTGGTATCTATTGCCTATGTTTTTGTGAAAACTCTTCCTTAGGTTGGAGTTTTCTTTCCAGTACTGTCTGTAGGACTGGATTAGTTTAATTGTTTAAATCAGTTTTTGTCATGGACTATCTTGTTTTCTCCATCTATAGTTACTGAGCGCTTTTCTGGGTATAGTAGTCTGGGTTGGCATCTGTGGCTTCTTAGTATTTGTAGAATATCTATCTAGGACCTTCTGGTTTTCAGAGTTTCCACAAAGAAGTCAGGTGTAAATTGTGATAGGTTTGCCTTTGTATGTTACTTGGCCTTTTTCCTTTGCTGCTCTTAATATTTTCTTTATTCTATCTGTTTAATGTTTTGATTATTATGTGGTGAGGGGACTTTTTTGTGGTCCACTCTATTTGGTGTTCTGTAAGCTTCTTGTACTTTCATTGGCATGTCTTTCTTTGGGTTGGGATAGTTTTCTCCTATGATTTTGTTGAATATGTTTTCTGCACCTTTGAGGTAGGTTTCTTCATCTTCTTTACCTATTATTCTCAGGTTTGGTCTTTTTATGGTGTCCCATATTTCCTGGATATTTTGTGTTAAGGATTTGTTGGACTTAAGATTTTCTTTGGTCAATGAATCTATTTCTCCTAGTGTATCTTCAATGCTTGAGATTCTCTCTTCCATCTCTTGTATTCTGTTGGTTATGCTTGTATCTATAGTTCCTGATCATTTACCCATCTTTTCTAATTCCACCAGTCCTTCAGACTGTGTTTTTTTATTTGTTTTATTGTCTCTATTTCAGCTTTCAAGTCTGTACTGTTTGAATTGTTTCTCGCAATTTTTTAAAAGATTTATTTATTATGTATACAGTATTTTGCCTGCGTGTATGCTTGTAACCAGAAGAGGGCACCAGATCTCATTACAGATAGTTGTGAGCTACCATGTGGTTGCTGGGAGCTGAACTCAGAACCTCTGGAGGAGCAGCCAGTGCTCTAAACCCAGTTTCTTACAATTTTTGGTTTGTCTTTTCCTCCATTTCTTGAATTTTTTGTTTTTTCTTCCATTTCTGTAAAGGATTTTCTCCATTTCCTCTTTTAGGATCTCTATAATCTTCATGAAGTTGTTTTTAAGGTCATTCTCTTCTGCCTCATCTGTTTTGGGATTTTCAAGTCTTGTGGGTATAGAGTCCCTAGACTCTGGTGCCTTTATACTGTTTTTTCTGTTGTTGAATGTGTTCTTATATTGTTGTCTTCCCATCCCTTCTTCCAGTGGATGTAGGTGGTATCTCTTCCTCTGCTGGTAGGTGCAGGTTCAATGTTCTCTTTCGGTGGGTTCAAGCAAGTCCAGTACTCTGATGGGTCTCACGGTGGGTGCAGATGGGTCTGAGGCACTCCCTTCTCCAGGTGGGTGGGGGCAGGACTAGCACAGTAATGTCAGCAGACTCTGGATTGCTTGGTCTGCCAGGGGAGAGTCGATCTGTCTGCAGTCCCCAGGCCAGGAGATCCCAAAGTGGGCAAGCTGAATTCGGGCCTGAGACAGGGGCCCAAGCTCACCTCTCCCCTAAGTGGGGGTGGGACTAGCACAGGGGTATCAGCAGACTCTCAGTTGCTTGGTCCTCCGAGGGTGAGTTGACCTGCCTGCAGCCCCCAGGCCAGGAGATCCCAAAGAGGACATATGCCCTCTTAAAGAGTGACTACTGTGAATGTCACTGCACTCTTGCTGGTTTTAAAGGGACCAGGATGGTTAATCAAATAAAATGCAGATTACAAGTCAGGGCCAGTGTACAAATGCACCTCTTGGCTCTGAGCTCAGGGCTCCAAGCAGATCAGCCAAAGGGAAACACAAGTATGCTTCTTCCCCTGACCGTGACTTCTTGAAGAAACGAGCACACATGGTTTCACACGAGTCAATGAGGTTTGTAAGCCCCTCAGGAGCGCGCTGCAGAGAAAGGAAGCAAACCCTCCTTTATAAGACCCATTGTCTGTATCAGACCCATTCCCTGCAGATGTTAGCAGTGCCATTATTCTTTACTCAACATCTGGCAGCTTTGACGTGAAACAGCTCTTCCAAGTTCTGGGGAAACACTTGAGCAGGTAAGAGTGCTTGTTATGTCAGCACAAGGACCTGAGTTCGTGTCTCTAGAACACATGCACAAAACAAACCAAGTGTCAGGTTGGTTACAAGCATCTGTGACCCCAGCGCTGGGAACTCAGAGACGGGAGGACTTGATGACTGCCAGCCTAGTCTCAGGGTCAGTGGGAGACCCTGTCTCAAAGAAAATAGAGCAGACACTGATAAAGCATGGAGCAGGGCAGCTGACGCCCCGCCCCCAGGCCTCTGTGCACGCACAAACATGCCACATACACCGCAAATACACACACGTGCACATACACAATGAAATGCGAAATGAACATCTCTTAGGAATTCATATTCCTAACAGAACCGGACAGATCGTTATGTTCAACTGCTGGGAAGCAATTTCAAAAATCCTGGCAGTTAGCCTAAAGCTGAAACAAGCTAACCCATTTCTCCTATTGTGTAGACTTCACTGTTGGCAATTACACAGCATCCACCTTTTGTGTTTGCAAATGAAAACTGTTTTCATTCTGATTCACTGGGAACTAGCTGGCTGTTTCCCACAATGGAACTTATACCACAGAATCACCAGTCTGCTGGAATCTACCAGAAACCCTGCTGTAGCAGAGAAGACCATGGCCCTGATATGGCTCATGGTCCATAGCTTATCGGAGAGTTGGGCTGTTTTACCTCTGCTGCCTCTAATGCCCTCTGGTCTTGTCTCTGTCAAGAAGCCGCGCCTACAGAAGTGGTTCTATTGCAGACTTTATGCCCCTCCTCTGTCCACAGTGCCAGGAAATCTCATGTCTCTCCGACTCTGAGGGACTCATTGCTATCCTCTCATTTGTTTCTATTTTCACAGAACAAGTGATTGAAAATTAAACTTTCCTTTAGAAGCGTAATTATTTTAAAGGCGATCAGAGCTTCGCGTTAAACCAATTTACCTCAACAAATAGGATGAAGATGTGGGCTGTCGATTGGAGAGTTAATGAAATAACCATAATTTCGTTAGATGGATCAACCGATATCACCTTATTCACCTAAACAGATTTCACTCCTTATTTATTTAGTTGTCACGCGTGTAGCTGTGTTATTTGTGTCTTCGGAAAGGATACCATAATTCAGAGTGACTCAGACAAACCTTTTTAAGACAGGAAGCAGAGTATCTATATAGATAAAAATGAAAATGATGTGATTTCCCTCAAAAGAATGGGACTGTATTCGTCACAAAAGTAGCAATGATGACCATGTCACTCAGATTTGCATTGCTGTGATCAAGTTACATGAGAGAAACCACTTAGGGAGGAAACTGTCATCTCAGTTCTTGGTTCCGTAGGATTCAGGTCACTTGCCTCCATTTTTCTGGGTCCAAGCATTACAGCAGTGGGAGCTTCTAACAGAGCAGCCTCTTCGTGGAGGACCAGATGCAGAGAAAGGGACATGGTGGTGTGCCAGAACTTCCTCCTCACTCTTCCCCCCAATCCAGTCCCCAAGTCTTCAGAGGGTTCAGGGTGGGTCTTCCATCCCCAGGCAATCCTCTCAGGAAAGCATCCACAGCCATACCCAGAGATGCGCCTCCCAGGTTTCCCAGGTGTTCTAAGACCAGTCAAGACGAAAACGAGGATTAACCGTCATCAATGCTGATTTGAATTTCCCATCTCTTACAGTTCCCCCTAAGTAACTTGAGACTCTGTTCTGAATTTCTGAGATAAACCAGCATTACAGGCTTTTAAAAGTTAATGCTTATCCTGCTGCAACCAGTATGACTCCAGGGAGTGGCCTGACTGTGGTAGAGAGGGAACTAAGAAGATGCAGACGCATAGACTCAGAAAAGCTGGGATCAGGTGGGCTGGACTCTATGTTGGAGAAGCAACGGCACCCTGGCAGCACAGAGCGTTTCTTATATAAGTGTGAACAAGGTGGTGGTGTTATTGCATAAAGCTGAGCAGGGAAGCAGGTTTAGCTCGTCTTGGTAGGAGCAATCTCTGTAGGGGAGCAGCCTCCAGAACACAAACACTTAGGCAAAGGAAAGGAAGGTGGACATTTTCTTCCTTGTCAGCACTCACACTCATGCCCCAGGAAGGCTTTGCCCTCTTTCTGAACCTCACCTGGGGAAGAAGGCTTTGCTACTCCCATGGGGTAGCACTGGGTTTCTTAACATGACTGTGCCCATATCAACAACACACAGTCTCTCTGACACACACACACACACACACACACACACACACACGGGGGGGGGAATAGAGAGAGAGGGGAGAAATACACTAGGCATCGGTGGCGCACACCTTTAATCCCAGCACTGGGGGAGGCGGTGCAGAGGCAGGCGGATCTCTGTGAGTTTGAGACCAGCCTGGTCTACAAGAGCGAGTTCCAGGACAGCCTCCAAAGCCACAGAGAAACCCTGTCTCAAAAAACCAAAATAAATAAATAAATGATAAATAAATAAATAAATAAACTATAGGCAAACTAGCCCACAGTAAGGCATATACTATCACTAGGAGTGCCCTGACTGCTTGCCCATACCGCCCTGTTCAGGGGCCACAGGCTCCCACTCTGGGTGTCAGGCCTAGTCTTTTCTGCTACCATCCTGACAGGAAACATACATATACTGGACAGGGCTGACAGAGACTAGGCATGCCTCTTGAGTTGGCCAAAAGGTGGGGGTGGGGGTGGGGAGGGTGACCAAAAGCCCTGTCATGTTCCCTAGGGAGCCAGGTCTGGCAGGGCAGCCAGCAAAGACCTCCCACTGAAAGGTCAGACTGTGAGCTGGTCCACCTGCTGGCTTGAGAGAGTTATGCTACCTCCACAGTCCTCAGCCACCGCAAAGCAGGTCAGAGTTGCTCAGTCCATGCCACAGACCCCCAAAGAGCCAATCTGAAAGGAAAGCCCAAGGGAGGGTGTGACTAAGCCGTCAGCAGTGCCTCAAACGTGCAGACCAACACAGTGCTTCAGAGAGGGGCATGCTACTCTGTACCCGGTAGGCATCCCGAAGAAGTCAAGCACCGAACTCCAAAAGTGGCTTGCTCAATGATCTACTTTCTTTCAGAGAGAGAGAGAGAAAAAAGTTTGTTTCAAATCATAACAGTAGCAGCGGGTACCTTACACTTAACTGTCAGACACCGTGATGTCTGCAGCTTCTGGATGACCCAGCCAAATCTTGGAGACGGTGTGCTTGCTGGGAACAATGCTGTATGAGGAGGTTTTGTGCATTAGCTTAAACGTGTTGCATGGGTTTACGATGTGGGACATTTGTTTAATGATGCAGAGATATTGTGTTTGTGTAACTCTGTGAAGCTGTGTTACTTTGCCTGTCTGAAGCACCTGGTTGGTCCAACGGAGAGCTGAACGGCCAGTAGCAAGGCAGGAGAAAGGATAGGCAGGGCCAGTGGGCAGAGGGAATAAACAGAAATCTGGGAAGGAAACATGGAGGAACGAGAAAAGGAAGAGACGGGGCTTTGGGGGCCGGCCCCCAGCTACACAGAGAAAGAAGTAAAGAAAGGTACAGAGAATAAAGAAAGGTAAAAGCCCAGAGGCAAGAGGTAGGTGGGATGATTTAAGTTTAAGAAAAGCTGGCTAGAAACAAGCCAAGCTAAGGCCCGGCGTTCATAAGTAAGAATAAGACTCTGTGTGATTTATTTGGGAGCTGGGTAGCAGGCCCTCCAAAGAGTGAAGAGTAAACTAAAACAACAACAACAAAACCCCAAAACGACAAGAAGGTAGACAGCGGGGCTCCTGAGGAAATGCACAACAGGCAGTCGGCATCCTCTGGGGTGTGCTCTTCCACGGAGTCATTTAGGCACTAAAAGAGAGGTGACACGCTCTCATCCGCACACCTTCCTGCGTGACACTATGCCTTTCGCCTCTACCTGCCCAGACCACATGAACAGAACTGAATTCTTTACAGTGAGACGATTAAAATGCCCCCCCCCCGTGGGAAGGTCATTTAGATACCCCCTTGACTAGTTATCTACATTCATCCATCAGGTCTCATGGGGTTAGGAGTTCGTCCACCTAAAACGCGGGTGTAATTGGTCTTAATGCAGGCACACACTCACTGCTAACAGAATTCCATACTCATCTTTGAGCACTAAGAATACAGATACTTCAGTAAGAGACAGATTTGTGCAAGCCCACTGTTTCCATAGACTGCTACTCTGTTGTTCACGACACACAGAAACCGACTCCATGGCAGAAGGACGTTACCTTTCTAGGAAACAGCAAACAGAAAATAGGGAAACCATCTCTCCGCCTAACGTCTAACAGGTATTGAACATATGGGTGAGTGAAAAATATTCGAGCTTGGGGTTAAAATACTATTTTCACTGACTGTACTATTCGTGGAACCTCTGACTTCTGAATGCCCCTGTCCTCCATGGGTTCCCCCATGCGCCGAGTCTATCTTATTTATGCTCCAGGACCAAGGACAACGGCAGGAATGTAACACCTCCATAAATACACACTCAGATGTCTGCTGAATGATCCTGAACATGGGCGCAGTGCCCTGTGCTCAAATCGTGATAGCTTAGAGAGTCCTTCATTTTTCCCACAAGGAGGAACTTCATAAAATGGACACTAGATGAAGAATTAGAGATCACAAACTCTCGCCTGGCGTCTGTGCTAACTCTGTGGCTTTGGGCAAGTCTGTGACCTCTCTGAGCCCCCTTATCTTTCTCTCCTTGATACCATTTACTACAGTCGCTCTGCCCATGTCATAAAGGCGGTGCCGGGTCAAAAGTGCTATAACAGTCACTCTGCTGTGGAGAGCGTCACCCCAGGAGAACACAGGCCTGTGTGCTCAGAGATTTTGGACTGTCTTGTTGACTGTCTAGGCTGTCATCTCCACAGCAACTGAATAAACTAAACAGACTGAGGGGCTGCCGTGGGGCCCAGTATCAAAGCCACTTACACTATACCATTGGAGCCACCACCCCAGAAGGCCAGAGGCAGGTGAATCCTTCCCTCTGATAGACCCTATGTGATCTAGAACCTCCCACAATAAACGTTTCCGCCAACCCCGGCAAGACTTAGTCCCACCTATGATGCTGATGTAGTACCGTTGCCCTGTCATTGTTGCTGCACATACAAAGGGCATCTGTGAGGAAAGTGGGCACAGTGTTAAGTTTCTTCTGGGTCCTTCATGGTTTTCAAGGAGAACGCCCAAATGGAATGGGAGCGGGCAATGGACACCGACTCTCCAATGACTTCCTATACAACCCGATTTTGAGAAAGGACAAGGCTTTGGCCAACTACCGTAGCAAACCACGTATCAATCTAGAATTTGGTAATAGGCTTTCATTTTCAACATCTGTTCATGGCAACATTCCTCTGCCACGTTCGAAAAGGGTGTGAACTTTTTTCTTTCATCCAAAAAAAAAAAAAGTACGCGGCACTGAATGAAATTGTCATGGCCAGGCCAGCTCCAGACCCCAGTCAGCCTCTTCTTCATCGACTACAGTAAGGATGTGTCTCCTCTTCCACCCGTGGGACCACTGCCCTGGCCTGGCAGGCTTCCTTGCCCAGGCACAGGTGAGAGGCATACGATTTTTCTGTCAGTCAAAACCAACACACCCTAAACTTTGGAACGAGGCCACTCCCACCCCAGCCATTCTGCCTTTGAAAATCAGGAAACAGAGTATTCAAGGGGAATTCTCAGGAAGGGTACCCCCTGGGAAGCCACAAGCACCAAGACTTCTTATGATATGACACGGACCACACACACACACACACACACACACACACACACACACACACACACACACACACACAGGCCTGGCCTTGTGACACAGTCTCTTCATGATTCCAGGATACCCTCATCTCCAGTGCTTTTGCTTAATGACTGTCCCAGAGTGACCAGAGCTCAGCACTCCCCAAACAGATGCACAATGGGTACTCAAGAGAAATGTGTCTACCTTAAAGGATACAGATAGTTCCTTCAACACTGTGTATAGTACCCCAGCCCTAGCCTGGATTCAGACTACTTCTGGCCTTCCTAGGAACTCTGTGCACCAAGTACTTATACCTCTGAAGAGGTCTAGTCACCTCCTGTTTTCCAGCTCTTGGTGTTCCTCTGGGCCACAATATTGGGTTTCAAAACCCATTTCTGAGAACAAAATTAACAGAAAGAACCAGACCACGCCCTCAGGGAAGAGGTGAGGCCCTCCTGCCAGGGTCCCAGGTGGGGAAGAAGGAAGGCCATTAGCTGGAAATTGAAGAAAACATCAGATCCATTAGGAGTGAGGCTGTGAGGAGGAGGAGGAGGAGCCACCAAGACATCAGGGACTAGGAAGGATCACCCCTCAGCACAAAGCCCATCATGGGCCTCCTGCCCCCAAATCCCGGGACCAGCCTCTCCAGGCCACTGAGACTTTGGGCTGCAGAAGTGTTGGCTCTACTCTGAGAAGTGGTCTGCCAAGGTCACCTGGGAGGTAACCTCGGAACTGGGGGTATGTGTTGGTTTTGCCTTTGAAGAGCACGGCATCTCTCATAGCTTCCCCTCCCCCCCAGCGTCCTCTTTTAATGTCTTTCTCAATGTCTCCTTCTCCCTTGGCCCCCATCCCCAAGGCTCTCAAGTGCATTTAAGTTGGAAGAAAAATTGACCAGCAGAAGTATCTGCATTGTACCCAGGACAGCATTTGAACTTCCTGATGGCTCCAGGCAATCCCCCCGGGGCTCTGTTTCCAATAAAACAAGGCTAGAAAGCGAGGCAAACACTTTCCCCCACCTGCCAACCCTCTTTAAAACTGTGGCTCAGTTTCCAGCTTGGACTATCTGGTTACAGCTGGTTCCCCCCCAGCTTTCTGCACAGCAGTCCCGGGCCCAGGGACCAGCAGTGAACCCACCTTCTAGTTTCATTTAGGTCACTGTGATAAAAAAAAAAACAATCTTAACAAAAAGCATCTTATAGGAGAAAGTGTTTTGCTTACCATTCCACGCTGTCGTCCATCATTGTGAGGACATCAAGGCAGGAACTTCAAAGACCTGGTCGAATCGCATCCACAGTCAAGAGCATAAAAAACTGCTTCACTCGTCTGGATTTCTCCACTATTTTGTAGGTCAGGATTCCCCTGCCTAGGGGATGGTGCCTGTCCACAGTGGGCTGGGTTTTCCTGTATCGATGAACTTAGTTAAGGCAACCCCAAGGTAGAGAATCCAGATTCCCTCACTGAGGTTTCTCTTTCCAGGTGATGGCGGGTTTCATCAAGTTGACATCCGAAGTTAAGCAACATAGTTTTATTCACAGCTCCACTTGGTGAAGTTCGTTGCAAAGCGCCTGTTCTCCCAGCCCCGGGGGCCAGGGGCGTTCCAATCATTCACCCTTTGCAGGCAGCTCACCGACCACGGTAGCTTCCGGAAGTCGAGTTTCGTGTCGTTGCTTCTCTGCAGTCCATGCTTGAGGACCGTCTATAGTCCTGCCGGCTTGTGAGTCTGGGTGCCAGCCATAGGGCACGCAAGCTGGGCACACATGCGCTCGGCATGGGTGCAAACTCACCCGCATTGACTTCGGCGGCACCATGGGAAGTTGGACGTGAGAGAGCCTGCCTCCTCGCTTACATTTCCTGTCCACATTTGAGTGTCCGTGTTTAAGGAATTCCCAGTATTGTCACCCAGAGCTAAAAGCACACCTATACGTTTCCTTTTCCGAATGTGATGGGCGAAAAGGCGCAGACCACAGACCAACACTGTAGAGACTCAAACACAGCATCTGTCTCAGCTGAGGGCAGCGATGTTCCCAGTTCTCCAGTCTTCTTCCCCTGGAAGAAGATTTCCATTCTCCCCAACGTGCTTCCTATGTTAGGACACCATGCCTATTTCTTTAGCTGCTGTCCTCCTTGTCTGGCTTTGATGATGAGAGTGAAAGTGAAATGTACTAAGGAAAAAAAAAAAGATCAAGGTGTGGTAGAAGCAAAAATAAATAAATAAATAAATCTAGATTTTAATAATCTTATTAAGGGCCGAGGGAAACCCTCTATGCATAAGGGCACTAGCTGTGGAAGCTTGAGGACCCGAGTCTGGGTCCCCACAGAAAATGACAGGCGTAGCCCCGACACCTGTAGCAGCAGCAGCAGCAGCAGGAGATGGGGCAGAGGCAAAGAGGTGTCGGGAGCTTCCTGGCTGACCAGCCTAGCTGAAATGTGGCAAGCTCCAGGTTCACTGAGACACTCTGTCAAAAAGGCGTGGTGGAGGGCAATGGGAAGCTGCCCTGCAGCGCAGCCCAGAGGGTGAGCTCCCTGAGAACAGGGCCACACCCACCTTTGTGGGTCAGACCTGGCTTCCTGGTAGCCCAGTGGCTATGACATGGGAGCCTGGCACCTGGGAGGCGTTCACTTAAACAGCCTCTTCCTGCACTGTTCTCACAGACCTGCATCCGCCGCCGTCCCCTCCCTCCGTCTCCTTTCACCTGTGGCTCTCCGCTACTTGTTCCTCACGTGTTTTTCCTCATCCTTCCTGATTTGGTTCTTCGTTACTTACTGTTTCCTGATTCACATACGAAGTATTTAACAGTTTCTTGCTGCGTCAGACATGAAAGAAAAAATCGTCCAGTCAGATCACAGTGGGGCAGGACGAGGGTACAACACAGACTCCTCCTAAGTCTAGAGTCTACTCATTTTGGGGTGGCTCACACCTGGTCAGGGCTAGTAGCGTTTATATGAGCGACTATGGAAATTAGGGGAGCTCTTCAGCCTGTTCCCTAAGTGTCCTAACTCATTAGGAAACACCCCACTCCGTTGACTGCCATGCCAAAGCTTTACCGGGAAATGAAGAAAATACCATGGGCCCCAAATGCAAATTGATCCCTCTGGGACTGGTAACACGTTTTAATCATCAGAGCTCATCCCTGTCCTATGGCAAAGATGGCCAATAGTCTAAGAGCATGGGCACCCATGTGTAAGTCTCTGGGCCCTCAGAAGCATAGACTATACTCTGCTGTGTTTTCAGGCAGTTCAGAAGCATAGACTATACTCTGCTGTGTTTTCAGGCAGTTCAGAAGCATAGACTATACTCTGCTGTGTTTTCAGGCAGTTCAGAAGCATAGACTATACTCTGCTGTGTTTTCAGGCAGTTCAGAAGCATAGACTATACTCTGCTGTGTTTTCAGGCAGTTCAGAAGCATAGACTATACTCTGCTGTGTTTTCAGGCAGTTCAGAAGCATAGACTATACTCTGCTGTGTTTTCAGGCAGTTCAGAAGCATAGACTATACTCTGCTGTGTTTTCAGGCAGTTCAGAAGCATAGACTATACTCTGCTGTGTTTTCAGGCAGTTCAGAAGCATAGACTATACTCTGCTGTGTTTTCAGGCAGTTCAGAAGCATAGACTATACTCTGCTGTGTTTTCAGGCAGTTCAGATTCCAGGAGCTCATCAAAACAACACGCTCAGTGAGCCACCTCTCCTGTGAGGGCCCCAGCCCCCACGGGGTCTCTGTGAGTTGCTCCTCGTCAGCCAATAACCACAGGTGCATCCTGTTTTCTAGTCCTGGCTTACAGCCCTGGCCTTGCCCCACTGGCATCAACCTCTAGTTATGAAAACACGAGCTCTTACACCTGGGGTTTCTCCCCTGTGCTGTCTATATATAAGGTTGCTCCCTCCTTGCAATAACCACGCACGCACACATGCATGCACGCACGTGCACACACACACTCTTAGCACTCCTGGGTTTGTCTGAATTTTCCTTTTTTGAGCTTCTCACTCTGCTGGGACAGTTACCTTTTGTTTTAGTACTCAACTAAAATGACTCATCACCTACAGCCCACAGGTGTGCACCCCTTGCTGAAATCTCCCATCACTGTGAAGATGGCAGTGTTCACACCTCCATTTCACAGGTGGGGGAACTGAGGCTCTGGGAGGGCGGGGATAGGGGGGAAGATGGGTCTGCAGTACCCAAGCCGGAGTAGAGCTCAGGTCTCCACAACTCTGTGACCACAGTCCGTCACCCCACTACAGTGTCTGGATGACAGAGCTACCGGAGTTTTAGGGAATCCTGGGGCAAGCATCAGGTAAGGCCTTGGCAATTAGACACCAGGTGAGCAAAGGTCCTTTCTTGTGGGGACACCAGACCTTGAGGAGAAACCCACTTCCCCTGTGGCCTGGGAGCAGGCATCTATGTATTGTTTACTGAAAACAATTCAGTGCTTTAAAGCTTGATAGGGCTCAGATAAGGGCTGGCTCACTGAAATACCATGCCTTCCACACCTCCTATGGCTAGATGCCTCTTCCTGCCCCCTGTGGTGTCTCCCCGATTCTGGGGCCGGAGATTAAACCACCAGCCAGGAGGGTGAGAAGTGGAAAGAATGGTATGTAAATGGATGGCAAAAGTCCTTAAAAAGGGAAGCTCCTTTTTCTTAGAGAGACTTCTCCAGAGATTTCGCCAGGGACTTCTCCTGAGATTTTCTTCTGAGAGCTCTCTCCTAAGCTGACTTGGGAAGATAAAGTTTTCTTAAAGCAACCGACCGGTCTCTGTGTCATCTATCCCGACCACCTCGCTACATTCTCGGATGCAGGCCGCACAGCAGGTGCGACACTTCTGAAGAGATCCCCAAAAGCACAATGTTAGTCAAGAGTCGCTTGTTGTACCACACATGGTCTTTCCTTGATGCCACTCAATGTGACGTCTCAGCTTAGCTAGCATTCCCCACCAATGCAGGACGAGCATCCTTGCTGAGGGCACAGCATTGCATTTTAAGGGGAAGAAAGAGAAAAGAATGGTAACTGTGGCAAGAATAAACTGGATGTTTCTCCTAACAAAAATCCCTGCCCACACCACCCCTGGTATCTTTGGATCTCTAGCGTGTATTAGACGGTGGAATGATGAATGGCCCTTTCTGTCATCAAAAGCCTGGGCCTCCCCATTTCTCTCCCAAGTCACAGCAGATCCACCCCCCCCGCTTCTACGCTGTGTCAAGAATAAAGTGGTATCCTCTAGGATATGCAGAAGGCCTGACACACTGGGAGAGGAGGAAAATCTGGCACCCAAGATGGCAAGCATGAGGTTTCTGGCTCCTCTAGAGCCCCAAGGCTGCTTCTTACAGGAGGCACCCGCTGTTCTGAGCAAACTCATGTGTGAGAAGAAAGATGTCCCTCTCTGGAAGTCACTCTGGAAAGAGAGTAGGAGAAATCAGCATGAATTCTGACCTGATATAGACAAACCTACCCCTCTGTGGTAGTTTGAAGGTAAATGGTCCCATAACCTCATAGGGAGTGGCACTATCAGGAGGTTGTGGATTTATGGGAATGGATATGGTGTTGTTGGAGGAAGTGTCACTGTGGGGGCGGGCTTTTAGGTTTCCTATGCATAGGATACCATCAGTGTCTCAGTTAACTTCCTGTTGCCTGCAAGACACAGTACTCTCAGTTACTACAACGCCACGTCTGCTTGCATGCTGCCATGCACCCCACCATGATGATGATGGGCTGAACCTCTGAAAGTGTAAACAAGCCCCTCAATTAAATGTTTTCCTTTAAGAGTTGTTGTGGAATGGCAGAAAGACACTTAAGGAAATGCTCAACATCTTTAGTCATAAGGGAAATGCAAATCAAAACCACACTGAGATTCCATCTTACACCCATCAGAATGGCTAAAATAAAAAACACCAATGAAAGCTTATGCTGGATAGGATGTGGAGAAAGGGGAACACTCCTCCATTGATGGTGGGAGTGCAAACTTGGACAGCTACTGTGGAAATCAGTATGGAGATTTCTCAGAAAATCAGGGATCAACCTGCCTAAAGATCCTCCACTACCACTGTTGGTCAATGCCCAAAAGAAGCACATTCACACCACAAGGACATTTGCTCAGCTATGTTCAAAGCAACATTATTTGTAACAGCCAGATCTTGGAAACAACCTAGATGTCCCTCAACTGAAGAATGGATAAAGAAAATGTGGAATACTTACACAATGGAGTACTACTAAGCAGTAAGAAGCAATGACATCCTAAAATTCATAGGTAAATGGATAGAACTAGAAAAACCATCCTAAGTGAGGTAACCCAAAACCAGAAAGACAAATATAATACGTACTCACTCATAAGTGTATACCGGACATAAAACAAAAGATACCCAGCCTACAATCCATAACCCCCCAGAGAAGCTTGAACCCTCTTCCAGAAACAGATGGAAGCAGATGCAGAAATCCACAACTAACCAATGGACCAAGCTTCTGGAGTGCAATTGAAGTGAGGGAGGATCGATAATATGAACAAAGGAGTCAAGACCATGATGGGGAAACCCACAGAATCAGCTGACCCGAGCTAGTGAGAGATCCCTGACTCAGGTCTGACAAATGGGGAACCTGCACAAGACTGAACTAGACCCTCTTAATATAGGTGACAATGGTGTGACTGGGACAATATATGAGGCCACTGGCAGTGTGTCTAAGATCTAACATTAACGCACAATGGACTTAGTAGAGTCCATTCTATATGGAGAGATACCTTGTCCAGCCTAGACACAGGGGTGTGGGGTTGGAGAGGTGCCTTGGTCCTGCCTCAAGGATATGATGAGACAGAATTGGTAGACTTCCTAGGGGAGTCCTTACCCTCTCCGTGGAGCATATGGGAGGAGGGGGGAGGGGGAAGGTTTGGAAGGAAAGGAGGGGGGAGGAACTGGGACTGGAATGCAATAAATTAATTTTAAAAATGAACAAAATAAATAAATTAATAAAAAAGAGTTGTTGTAGTCATGGTGTCTCTTCACAGGAATAACAACCCTAACTAAGACACCTTCCCTTAAAATGAGAAGAAGAAGGAGGAGGAGGAAGAGGAGGAGGAGGAGGAGGAGGAGAAGAAGAAGAAGAAGAAGAAGAAGAAGAAGAGAGGAGGATGAGGATGAAGAGGAGAACAAGAAGGATTATACCTAGCATAATTCAGAGTTCTCTAGAAGAACACAACCTGTAGAATGAATGTATGTTACAAGAAGGGATTAGATTAGCTTACATAATATGAACTGGGTAGTCAACGTTGCTGTCTGCAGGGTTGGAGAGCCTGAGAACCTGGTAGCTGTTCAATACACAATGCTGGGTGCCTCGGCAGTTCCAATCTTGTGGTAAAGGACAGGAGGAATCCTATAGACATGCTCCACAGGGAGGTCAAGAAGCTGCATCCTTAAGTCAGAGATGGATGGCATCAGCAGCAGCAATGGGATGGATGCAACCATCAACAAGGAGGCAGGCAGGCAGGCGGCACCACTGCTTCCTAGGATCTCTTTACATCTGTAAAGCTATCGCCCATTCTGACAGAGGGCCTTGTTTTCCTCAGTTAATTCTTCCTGGAAATGGCTTCTCAAAGCCTTCCTGAAGTACTTCTTTTAGCTGAATCCAGACCCAATCAAACTGAAATGATTAACCATCACACCCAGTTCTGGTGAGAATAAATGCCAGTAAAAAAAAACATGGAAGCATGGGTTGTGGAGATTTGATAGCACACATTTCATTTGACTCACTTAGAAACTCACCCAAAGGAAATATTTCCATGTGTGATGTTTTAGCTATAATGATGTTTGT